TTCAGGATAAAGTGACAGCATCTGTATGCTACTTAGCTCTGAAGAGCAAGCAGCTTACCTTCCGTGGATGATGGACTCCAACAGGATGATGGACTCCAACAGTAACTAACTTCATGGCTTTGTCTCTGCTGGAGCCTGCCCACCCCACGGTGGCTGGATGCAGTGTAAACAAAAGACACATGGTATCTTTCATCTTAAAAATATAAATACTTCATAAAAGTCCACATGGAAACAGGAAGAAAATGTAAAGAGCTTGGGTTGGGGCCTGCCCATGGTGGTAATAGCAGTACATACATTTTTAAAATGATATTTACAACAAACACCAATTTATTATTGATAGACTAACAAAGATAAAACTTTTATCCCCAAATTACAATGTGAACACTGACAAATTCATTACATAAGAAAAAACAACAAAAAACCAACTACTGCTTCATTTGTACTTGTATTTCAATATAGCTGTCTTTTATGTAGTGGTTTTCCCCGCTTAGAGATAAAAGGTACCAATAACTTCATCTGTAAGGTATAATTATATTGCTTAACCGGAAAACATTTCTATCAAGCCAGTGTCACGAATACCTGGTCTTAGTTTTTATGGAATATAGATCAATATAATCTCAGAACTGAAGTCCACACAACTTTGCCAAAATAAACTAACCCAACTGATTGACCCCGGTGATAGAGGAGATCATATTTTGGAAGATGCTATCATAAAATATAAGTATTTCAGACGCAGGCTCTTTGATGATGAAATTAGAGAAGAAAATGTCTTATCAGGTCACTGGAAGAGAGGTCTGAGAACAAGGGATTCAAGTCAGGAGAATCAGGTTCTATGTAATGCTTCCATTGGTGACCTGTGTGACCTTGGGCAGGCCCCACCCATGCTCTCTTTCCTGGTGTCCTCCTCTGTCTCCATGTGGACTTTTATAAAGTATTTATACTCTTAAGATGAAAGATACAAAGCATGCTACTTAAGTGGGACGTCTGAGTCACTTCACTCAGAATAGGAGGACAGAGCCACCTGCCACCCCAGTACACACCAGCTATCTTTATCTGGGGAGGTGGTGGTGGGGGGGTCGTTTCCCAAACACTATGTCAACAAAGGACTGTGTCACCTGGGCTACCTGTTTCCCAACACTTCAATGTAAAAAGAGGAAAGGGAAAAAAAGGAACTTGGCTGGGGGGATTTTGTTGGATGTTTCTCAAACTCTGGGGGGGGGGGGGGGGGGGGGCGCACATGACCAAATCCTACAAGGGACTTCTCGCCAGAGAATGTCTAATGCTCAGTTTACTGCAATTCCAATTAAGGAATGCTGGCAGGTGAATTTGCATTTTTTAATAGTCACATGGCGGTCACATATATTTAAAGTTCTGGGATCCGTATGTGTGAGACGGCACCTCAGCCACAGGCAGCTATGAGGTTTTCCATGAGGGTAGGAGGCTCCTGACGGTGGCCGGAAGGCCGGCTGGTCAGTAGACGGTCTTCCTGCCTTCACTGAAACTGGCTTTGTGCCCCTCTACCCACTAGTTCGTCCACTTGTCACAGCCACGGAAAGAAGACCCCGCAGGCAAGAAGCATGTTCAAGTCCAGGAGTCTTGGAGATTTTTCAAGCACATATTCTCTAGACAGAAAAGGAACGAACAACCCCCACGCGCACCTCATATAGAAAGCCAAATGAAGAGTGCAGACAACAGCCAGCCCAGGCCTAAATCTCTCTCAAGTTGCCGTTGTGGATAAAGTGTTTTGTAAAACACTTACAAGTGCTGTCCAAGTGGCAAGTGGTTTAGATTGGTAGGGGTGGAATGCTAATTTCCAGAACCACCCAGGCATGGCCGCATTAAGGCTCGCTCGTCTAGCGAGTGAGTCAGGAGACTGACTGGTTTCGCCGTGGGGCTCTTACCGTTTCCTGAGCACTGCTTGTTCTAAGTCAAGTTTCCAGAATAGCACATGGCGGGGTGGGCGAAACTGACGCCAACAAGGGAAGAAAACATCCTCAGTGTGGAGCTCTGCCTTTTTGCTGATCACTTCCCCCACCGCAGGCCCTGTTTGCATCAGGTACCTCAGCGCTCAGGCTCCCAGCCTGCACCTCCTTTAATTTCTATCCGTAACAGGGACCCAGCCCTCATGGAGTGCCTGGGAGGGGGTGGGGGGGTGGGGGCTGCTTCTGCAACTTCCCTCCATCACGGTACCAACAGTGCTTCCCATGATAAGCGACAGGCCAGCAAAGCCCAGAGACTTCTCCTCAGGAAGAAAGGGTGGAATAAATCCTTCAGAACCTACCCGGTGACTTTGCTTCCTAATCTCAACGTAAGGTCCTGACCCTTGTTTTCTTCCAACGATTGTTTTGTCTTACAGTTTATTCCTTGGGATACTATTGATTTCACTGACTTAAATGTGGATGAAAAAGACACAATCCCTCAATGGTCCTACTGTGGGGGGGGGGGAGGCAGGTGAAGAAAGGAGAGAGGGAGGGAAGGAGGGAGGAAGGGGGAGGGGGCATGTATAAATATGCACACATCACTACAGAGCCGAGAAGTTGATGTCAGGGGCGGCGGGGTGGTGGTGGTGGGGTCTTCCTCTATATATAGCTTTCTGACTTTCGTTTTCTTGAGACAGGATCTTCTTTACACGTGGAGTTCACTGACTAGGTGAAAGGAGCTGGCCACTGAGCTCCAGGGCTCTAGGTTTCTGCCTCCCCAGCAAGTCAGCAGGCCTGACTTTTTATGTAGGTTTTGAGGAGCTGAACTCAGGTCC